AGCATTAGCATTAGCATTTTTTTATTGATTTTTTTTTTTATTGTTAAAAAAACATGGACAAGTAGAACATGGGGTGGGGCTAGCTAGCTAGCATTAGCAGCTTGCTAGCATCAGCATTAGCTTTTTTTCTCCTTTATTGGTGACAAAGCAGTGACAGAAGGTGACACAAAAGGGGCGGCTAGCTTGCTAGCATTAGCGGCTAGCATTAGCATCTTTTTTTTCTTTTTTGGTGAAAAAGCAGGGACAGAAGGTGACAGAATGGGGCTAGTGTGCTAGCATTAGCAGCTAGCTAGCATTAGCATTTTTAATCTTTATTGGTGAAACAACTGGGACAAACAATGGGAGGGCTAGCTTGCTAGCATTAGGAACTAGCATTAGCATTTTTTCTCCTTTATTAATGAATAAAGCAGAACAGAGGGGCTGGGCTAGCTTACTAGCATTAGCAGCTGGCTTTATGGCTTTTTCCATTGATTTATGCATTTCACAATGTGCATGCACAGTATATAGACCCCCCCCCCAACACACATTTTCATTAGCTCAAGCATTAGCAGCTGGTTTGCTGGCATTTTTCATTGATTCATTCATTTAACAATTTCATTATAATATTTCAAAAAGTGGAGATGCTGGTTTGCTATTATTAGCATTAACTTAATTTACTTTATTTTTTGTGAAAAAAAATTGACAAACTGAAGGCGACACGGGGGGGGGGGATCTTATTATTATTAGCAGCTAGCCTGCTGGCATTGTTCATTGATGAATGACTAACAATTCCATAAGAATGTAAAATAACATTACAAACGGACAAACAAGGTGACGCAGAAGACATTTCAAACATGAAGCATGATAAACAAGTGACAATGTATATAAAGTGACATTTTGTTTGTATTTGTATATAGTAATAATGACAATAGTAGTTAAAATAATACTTATAATTGTAATTTAGTAGTGTATTGTACATTATAATGATGATAATGGCAGCAATGAATATGTGAAAGTACAGTACGTAGAGCTGCCCCCTATTTTCATCAGCGCTACCATTAGCAGCTAGTTGGTCATTGATTAATGAATTTAACGATTTCATTATAAAATTGCAAAATGACAAGTGGGGGGGGTCTATCTTGCAAGCAGTAGTATTAGCAGCTAGCTTGCTAGCATCACTCATTGATGATTGCATTTAATGATTTATAAGATTATTCAAAATAATACAATGTAAAAAAGAACTTTCTAAATGCACTGCATGTCTAACTGATCTGTCTGGGTTTTTTATTGATGACTGAATTTGATAAATGGGGGGGGCTAGTTTGCCTGCATTAGCTTTTTTTTAATCTTTTTTTTAATAGGTGAAAAAAGCAGGGACAAATAGAAGGTGACACAGAGGGGGGTAGCTTGCTAGCATTTGCCTTAGCAGCTAGCTTGCTGATGTTTTTTGTTTTTCTTTAAACCTTTATTGGTGAGAAACGGACAAACACAACATAGGGGTTGGGGGGGGCTAGCATTAGCAGCTAGCATTAGCATTAGCTTTTCTTTTTTCTTCATGCTAAATTCACACACAAATATTAACATTAAAATTTGAAATCTTTCTCTGTCTCTCTCTCTCTCTCTCTCCCTCTAGGTGACAAAGTAGTTCACTGGTGCTGCTTCCAAAACGGTTGCCTGGGTTACCAATCTTGGTGTGTTGGTTTTCCAGGATGGTGGTTGGATTGATGACGCCACATCTTCCAGGTGGACCCTCGGAGGTTCCTGTTGTCACATTGAGGCATAGCGGTCCTCGCTGGAGGGGAAGCACAGGATGCTCGGCCTGACTGTTGCCAAGGTGATCCAGAGGATCATCTGGGAGGAGGGGAGGCTCCACTGTTGGAGGAGGGCACATGGGGCAGAGGAGACGGCCCTCCTCGTCCAGGATCTCCTCGTCACTCTGGACGTCTCTTTCCTGGATTCTCTCTGCATCCAGGACTTATGGAGAAACAGAGACTAACGGGAAGAACCCTTATGCTACCCTTTCAGTTTTTAGTCTGTGAAACCACAGAATAATGTACAAGATAAGAGATTAGTTCATATTGAACGAAGCGTTCGCGAGCGTAACATTAGTGGCTTTGCCACGTTTTCATTATGACATTTACAAGTGTTTTCCAATACATAAAAAGTCAGATGTTTGTGACAATACCTGAAAATGCCCAAGACAGCACTATACACAGCCATTTGAAAACTACAGTAAAAGTAACACATTTACACAGAAATTAAAGTTATACACAAATTATGAAATAGTTATCACCTCACTTAACAATAAATTAATTGAAAGATTACAATAAATTCAATGGCAAATATTGCAAATTAAACTAATTATTTTCTATAGGTTTACTTGTAATTTTTGCTAAAATTCGTCTCGTCTTGTCGTCTTCCGCTTATCCGGATTTGGGTAGCGGGGGCAGCAGCCTCAGCAAAGAGGTCCAGACGGCCCTCTCAGCGGCCCAGTTTAAAAGGTGTTACCTGATGTGTCTTCAGAAGGCTTGGCTTAAAGGTTAGGTGATTTAGAAAAGCTTTTCCTGTGAATGTAAATGTCTGTCTTGCAGTCGGCAGACAGACATTGTAATTTTTTTTTTTTTTTACTACAGTTAGTTTCTTACAGTGAAGATGGCAGTTCACAGATGCTTCCCATCAATCTGATGGATCTTGAGAGGATCTGCCAGGACGAATGAGATGAACCGCCGAAATCCAGGTGTGCAGAGCTTGTAGAGAATTTCCCAGGAAGCTGTAATTGCAGCCAATGGGGCTTCTTCAAATGACTGCATTAAGGGTGTAAACATTTTTGTAAATGAGAGATTTAAGATTTGCAACTTTTTGCAATAATTTTACAAGTTTTCACTTTGTCATAAGGCATGTTGAATGCAGATTGATAGACAAAAGAAGATATTTTATTGACTTAAAAGGAGGTCTGAAACATTTCTTAAACCACGGTACATACATGGACAAAATACAGACACAGAAAATTGTTCCACTTTAATGAAAATACTGTCCCAGATTTGCTAAAACCTTCAGCATGTGACACTATGATCAGAGACAACATGGTTTTATTAAAGTACAATGTATGTAATAGACATTGCTTGAAGTGTGCCACACGTCTTCATGTTACTCTTTATTGTACCGTTACTTTATTTATACCGGCACTTCTCACTAGCTGCCTCTCCCTTTCAGAATGACAGAATAGGAACTTAGTCCCCAGCATAGTAACAACATAGTTTTGTGACAGAACTTACACTTCAACAATTTGTTTTTGTAAAAAAAAACCTGTCGGGAGATCTCACTAACCTCCGAAGAGTTAGTCGCAGTGTCCCGCCCACTGCATCATCTGATTGGTCATACGTCACGAGTAATGGCCTATCGACGCTGAAGACTGTTGGTCACACAGGCGGGAACAGACAACAGCAGTTCCGGTTTACGAGCGGATCTGCGTGTCCTATATCCGTGGTCCAAGCTAAGACAGCCAACATCGCTGAAGCTGTAATAAACATCATAATCCTCTACACTGAAGTAAGAACAACACCACACACTGATGAACAAATTCGTCTATTGATTCAAGACACACCGAGCGAGAGAGGGAGAATCAGCGCTAACTGCTAAGCTAAGCTAACTAGCTGATCTGAACAGCACATAAACAACTGCTGAATTAGTGAAAGTCGCCAAAAGGAGCAGAGAGCTCTGGGTGCTGGAGCAGAACTAGTGTATGGTTAAATGTACAGCAAGTAGTTAGACACTGTGGTGAAGAAAACAGCAATATTAACTGTGTTTAGATAGAGCAGTAACAAACTCTACCAGTAATAGAAACTCCACAGCGGAGATGAGACACTAACGCCAACTACTGTTACTGAAAAGACATTTTACTTCAATAGAAGTAAAATAAAACTACTGTCTATAAAGATTTTCTCAGATAAAACCCTAAATGTCTCTGAATAAACCTGTTACATTAAAAAAAAAAGGGGGGGGGGGGGGATGCACAGGGGAGTACAAACACTTTTTTCCCCCACTTCAATGACTGGTAACAGCCAGACAACAGTATATTTACTGAAAAGCACTTATATTCATTTGCGGATTCACTTTCCCTGATCAAGTCTCTGACTTCCAACCAAGTCCACAGTAATGACGTCACATGTTGAAATGACTGTAGAGTAATGTGGCAAGATTTTAGGATACAAATGTACTAGCTCCATTAAGTCAAATACGAAGACAAGGCAATGCTTTAATGTCCCACCCTGTATGTGTCAATAAGAGGACTGACAGGAAAAATGGCCCATTTTATGGCAGTGTTTGTGCATATTCATTTTGCTGCGTGTATTTGAGTCATTAAAACACAGGAGGGGGGGGGGGGTAAATGTACTGGATGTCAGCACGGCTGTGATTCGGTCATAGGTGTGAGGCCGCAGGCACACCTCAGGTGTGCGCTTAGGTATCAAGGCTTCTTCCCTTCTTGCTTCTTTAACGACCCTACATCATTTAATCCAAATGTTATTTCTGGAAATATATTCATCTTTCCAACGTTTATTACAATCTTAGACAGATAACAACCGTTAATGTAACGATGATTAACAGTTAATAGAACACCTGTAAAGTGATACATTAAAAGTCCCAGTGCTGTTGTACTCTATATCAGCAGTCGTTGAATGTCTGTTGTCCAATAAAATTACCTGGTTGGAACTAACTGCGAATAGTCAAAGCATACCTGATTAACAACACTTTTGGTCCTTCTTTGGAAATGTTCTTCCATCACCGGGAGATATTGTCTCGACTTCCACGTCCATAGTTTTTGAGACTTCAAAGATTAGCTCTGACACATACAGCCCAAAAAGCCCTTTCGACAAACAGTGTAACCCGTTTTGCGGCTACAAGTCGGGTTATATCGGTGGAAACCATGCTTTCGCCCACCAATACCGACCCGAGCCAATCGACTATAATTAATTATAGTCAGGTTAGTTGCATCACTGTAAAACATCACAGTAGAAATGAGCTCAGTTTGGACGCACAACCTCTCGGACTCTTATCCCCTCCACTCCTCGCACCCTCTTATCCATCCACCACCGGAACAGGCTCCGCAGCGCCTGCCTCATCTCCGCGCTCCTCAGCCCGTACACCAGCGGGTTAATGCAGGGTGGTACAATAAGCATCATAAGCAGGGACATGTGGAGCACGACCGCAGTGGCCGAGGGAGTCGTCTCCATCATGCTGGTGCCCTCAGATGCCAGTGCCGTCATAGCCACTGTCCCCTCAACCTCCCACAGCGCGTCAGAGGCGACTTTAAGCAGCAGCGGCAGCAGCTGCAGGAACAGCATGCCGCAGTAGAACATCACAGTCTTGCGAGCCGTGGTGTTGACCGCGTTGAACGGTATCACTGCGTTACGCGCGTCCCGGTACATCCTCAAGTAGGAGAAGGCGTAGACCAGCAGGCACAGCAGCAGAGTAAATGAGCCCACGACTTTGCGAAAAACGGCTGAGACACGGGGGAACCCCATGTGCTGCTCCATCATGTCCGGCTCGCACAGTAGCCCCCTGGTGATCGGGTCATTCTTTTGCTCCCTGCCCATGTGCAGCAACACCATGTTGACGATGCTGACGGAGATGGAGTAGACCCAAATAAGGCTCAGGGTTAGCCACAGGCGCACCTGAGTGAGGATGACCAAGTAGTGGATGGCGTGGCACACGTACAGGTAGCGCTCCAGCGCCATGCAAGTGATGGTGACGAGGCTGGAGAAAATGCTTGCGGTCCCGGCAAAGTACTGGACGTAACACCAGGTGTTGAACGCCATTGTCCGGCGATGGACTAATGAGTGGATGACCGCCGGACTTAAGGTGGCGGTCTGAATGAGGTCGCTCAAAATCAGATTCTTCAGGAAAGCAAAACGCGGCTCCCAGGAGAGGTCCTCGGACCGTCCGAGCCCGAACAGAGTAAGACCATTAACCAGAAATGAGAAGAGAGTCAGCGACACAAAGATGCATATCAGCACTGGAACTGCATGTTCATTGGGGATTATAGACAGGAAGAGGCAGCTGGCAGCGTCCAGCTGCCCCGTTACGCGCGGCTCAGTTCGGTTCTCCTCGCTTAACCAGCCGCACTGCTCGGTGAGGTTGTGCGTCTCCGTGACAGTCATCAAAGGCATTGATGGCATTTTGACGTGAACAGCCCGTGATGTCTCTAATCATCCTCTCCCTTGGCAGTGGCGTTGTGAGCCTCACTGGTCCACATTCTCCTGCATCTCCATCCACTCATGACCTGACCTGAGAGCTACCCCTCACACACGTGCACACCCACCCACCACTCAGTTAATGACAACTTCTACTTTGCTCTTAGTCTAAGTTGTCACCTATGTGATACATTGAGTGCAGATGTGGAGCTATAATAACACATCTGGAGCACTCCACAATGAGCTTCAATGCATCTGTGTTAAATTGATGCCGGATGATGTTCTGATGTGGAATATTAAAGCCTACAATTAGATATCAAGAGGAAAATGTTGTGTGTATATGAGAGATAGCACGTGCATCTATCTGCATTTCCCTGTATGTCCAGCTTTATAAATAATTTCAAAGTGTAATTGATGTTATTTCTTCCACACAGTTGGATCCAGAGGTCCGGATTCTCCTGTTTCATCATTATTTCATCACATACTTTCCCTCAATGCCAGCCAACATGGCAGTACCGAAAGTCCAACTTTTAAAACTTCAGTACTTTGCGTGACAACCGATTGATTGAATAACAACTTGCAACAACTGCCTTCTGGTATGTACTCTACAAAAGTTTTTTTTTCCTTCAGAATTTGATCATTTCATTCATTTCAAGCCTCTTGTAGACATTAGTCATGATGATCATCAGGTGTAAGTAACATCAGCACTTTACACTGATGGTGGTAAACAGATCCAATAATGCAGCAGAAAACAAAAAATAGTAAATTAAATCTTTTCAAAAAATTGAGTTCAATGGGCAGTCATATTAAAAGTTACAGTTTGATTGACATGCATCGGGACATCTATTGTGTATTTAGTGTTTGTATAAAACATAGCCAATTTTTTGGTATACTAACAGTAAAAACAGCGTATTAAGTAAGACTTTTGTCTTATTTTCCTGAAGAGTATTAAACCATCTGCAGAATAAAGTGGAATTCTCTTTAGATCTGGAGTCTGTCTGGAAAACATTATCACATGTCACATTATCAATTTCCCTTTCTCTTTCCATGATTCCCAGCGGCTGATTGTCAAAGAAAAGGAATAAAAGTCAAATTCATCTTCAAGCTGATTCTGTTTAAGTCATGATGTCCTGAGTTGCTGAAACCTTCCAAGAAGTGTTACTTACAGCGGTAAGTATTAAACTGTACTGTAGTATCTGCTGCCTTACATTTTAAATTGTATGACTGAAACCACAAACCTAAACATTGATTCAACTTTAAATAACATTTCTTCTCTCCTTCACAAATGTGGTTTTGGGTTTTTCTGTTTTTCTGTTTTTTTTGGAAATGGCTTTCGACTCATGAAAACAAATCATCTTCTGACTGACTAAAAGGAGCAGGCTGACCCCCGGTGTTAAAGACTGGTAAGTGCGGGGCAGAGGTGACCATCTGAGGCAGGATTTATGCTGCATGGTGCAATTTCTATATATTAACTAGGACACACTATTATGCAATTATATGATTTTATTTATTGTATTTATTGACCGTAAGCCCAAAGATTCATGCATGAATGAATGTATGAATTTATGAGTCATCCAGAAACCATGGTCTTACAAGACACCACTAATTCATACATGGTAGATGGTAGAACACTGTGTATACATTTTCAAACAAAGAAGTCCAAAAAGGAAGCTAACTTAAATGATTTTCAAAATCAAATTGTCAGTCAAATCGTTCCGTTTACCATTTATTCAGGTGTTTGAGACACGTAAATGCATCAGAAATGAACAACCATTCAGTTTCTGATCATCTGTAAACCAAGATATTTTCAGGATTTTAGGAGATATTTCATGAAAAACTTACTTTTTAAAATATTCATAGAATCTACATCTCTTTATATTGTCTTAAATTTGCCGGTCCTGTTTGGGCTACATTTTATATCCCAATAACTAGTAATAATGTAAATACAGTATAGAAAGGGGGTGGGGTATTAAGGAGTGAAGTGGACGAGAGGGGGGCAGCTAGAAAGGACAGTGAGAAAAGGAACAGAAGAAGGGCAGAAAGTGAGGGATCAGGATGGACGGATAGAGGGCCAGTGGGGGAGGAGCGATGGCATACCTCCAACCTTATATAGGGTGTGTTTGTCTGGAGGCTTCAGCTGCTCCTCTGGGGAATGTCCAGGAATAGAAGGAGGTAGAAGAGATGAAGGTGGAAAGAGAAGGAGAAAAAGAAAAAAAGAAAATGATAAAAATGAGGACAAGTAATTTCCTCTTGGTCTTTTGTTCTTCCTCTTCACACCAAAATATTCTAACCCTTCTACACCTTTTTGTCTCAGCCAACAAGAGGAGAAGCGGCTCTGGAAAGTCTTGAGTTGGGCAGAGCATCAGCTGGTGCTGTCAGTCAGGCATGGGCACTGCATGAAGGAGGTGACATAAGTCGGACGGCATGGAAGCCGAACTCGCGCTGCGGCCATCAGGGGATGGCAGGGGTGATGACTGAGTGGGGTGAGAGGAGGTTAAGAAGGAAAGAGGAGACGCTGAGGATCAGAACATGGAGAACAGTAGGAGGAGGGTGATGAGGCAGAGTGTTGGGCAAGGAGTGAGGGCAAGGATAAAGAGTGGAGAAAAGGTTTTATTAGAAGAGGAATGGATCAAATCTGCAAAGAAAACTAAATGCTGAGGGCAGGTCAGCCATTTATTGTATTCTCCCACTGACTGATTAGAGTTTGAGTTAGTCCTAAAGTGGTTTAAGGTTTCTGAGATGGAAGAAGGAAGAGCATTCCTGCTCAAATATTGTTTTGTTAGATAAAGGATATGATATCTTCAGCAACACAATACCCTTTTTACCCTAGATACCAACTCACAAACATACAGGACATGGACCAAAGGTGTATTTTTTTTTTAAATCCCTTAATGATGTGCACATGCTACATCATGACAGCAAAAACAAACAAACAAACAAACAGCTGAACAAAAAGCACAAAAACAAAATACTTCTGCAAACGCTTATTAAATAATCAGTGTCTATTTAAACAACATTAACACACAATATCAACTCAACAAAAAATAAATCGACGGATAGGTTCTCTTAAAATGGTTTTTACAAACATTGTATGTGATACAGCATAAAGAGCAAGTCCAGTAGACAAGCGATCATTATTTAAGCTGCTGTGCAGGCAAATGTTTGACCCACAGGAGAAGAGGAGTATTGGTGTAGTGGTGTAGGTTTTTTTGCCACTAATTTTATCCCTGAACTAATGCATTTAATGTCTTGATTGATATGCACAGCATATTCTACATTAATGCACATGCATAGGCTACATATTTCACTAGTGTGCCACTAATTTCACCCCCAACATTAGTGGCACAATGTGTCTATTTGGAAAATGAATATCCTAGCTTGGAAAAGGAAATGTGTGTTCTGTATATGAAATATGAACTCTGCCTCCATTTCTTTTTAAAATGCTTAATTCTGGAGTTGAAACACACCATTGTTCTGCTTTGTTTTGATGACAAATGATTTATAGTACTGTTTAGTGGTCAGAAAATCTACATTCAGTTTGTTTTGCTGACAGATTTTTAAATTGCTTTAAAAATTGCCCAGAGATTCCTATGCTATAACCTACATTGTGTTGCTAATTCATTAGGAAAACCTAGCTAAAATGCATGCAGTCTAATACAACATCCCTGCAACATACTGTGCCATCATGAATGTTGTACTGCTCGTTATCTCTCAAAACTCTTAAAAACTTCACTTTCATAGTTTGTGATACTGTTGAATTTGATTGCGTTATGTGAAAAGCTGTTTCTAATCTTTTGTCCACCCTCTTAGTATCAGTGAGGACAGAGTAAACATTAAAAATGCCTCTCTAATACAACTGCTAACTTCTGGTCGGTACTTCAAGAGTAATTATTCATCATGAAATACAAAAGGAGTCTAAAGGTAATAGACCAAAATTGAAAATTTTTATGAGCCACTTGGTTTGATTGAAACAAACCAGTTTATATGACCGGTCTGAAGATGATGATGGTTTATTGTGAAGATTGTCAGTTTGGCATAGCTCTGTCAGCCAGGAGAATTTCAGTGTTTCACCATACAACAGAAATACTAAATGCATGTTAAACCTAAACAACCATATAGGTCATTGGTAAGGAGTGCCAGACTTATTGTCGTCATGGTAACAATAATATGACCTGTTGAAACATACCGGAGGCTTGCATACTGGACCTTCACTGTTGCTGGTAACAATAATGGACACACTGACGGCATAGACGGCATATTAGCGCAAAGATTTTAATATCACATTTGAGTGTAGCGTGACATATTTTGGTCCTAATTCCTGTACGAATTGGTTCAAAGGTCGGTTCCCTTTTTCTGTACATTTGATTATTGTGTCAACATTTCACCACCATTGGACGGTTCTCAGTGGAGGGACAGGAAACTTGAGGAGACAGAGGCAGAGATAGAGAGAGAGAGGGTGAAGACATGTTATGCAGCAGCGGTCCCCAGCTGGACTCAAACCAGAGACGATGCTGTTATGTGGTAGATATGTGTCTTAGCGCTGCCAAGACATCTCAAGTTTGACAAATCTGTTATAGCGGCTTCAAACATTTAAATGAAACTCTGAGCAGCCAGGCTGTTGACTGGATGTAGACATAAGGCCAAAGGTCATGTGTCCATCAGTAAACCTGTGCCAAAATTTGCATGTTGCAGCACAACCTTCTGTATGTTAGTGATGAGGGAGAATTTTATGTTGCACCAAGTTATTGAAGATCCAGTGTTGCTCTATAATCTACATTACCGAGCCAGTTTGCTGATTATATTACGTTTCCTTTCTAGCTACAAATGCTACTGTTACGCTACGTTTTAGCAATTACCATTAAAGCAGTAGCTGTCACCAGTGGGCACAGAAACTATTCAGCAAAAGTTACATTAGGCTTGCTTTAAAGCTGCATTTATCAATATCCCCAAAATTGAGTCAATCAGTTGTACAGGTAAAGTAAAGAGGTGTAAAGTGTGTAAAAGTGAACATAGTGGAGCATTTAGCAACTTCATGCAGAGATCATTTTCTCAGGAGTTGGTAGTGAGTGAAAGCAAAGCCAAAAGGAGAGTGAAATTGGACTTTAATTTATCAGGTGCCCAGAAACGCAACTCCAGATGAATGTGTATCTGTGTCTACCAAGTATGTAAGTTGATAACTGTTTGCTAACACGTTAGCCAAAACAATCTGCTAAAGCGCTGAGTTGGTTGTTGTGTTTCTATCGTCTTGTTTTGACCTTTGCCTTTAGCGGCCATAAACAGCTTCATTTGAATTGGATTACTTTTATATTATTCATATCAGTCATAGTGTTAATTATATTTTTCATATCCATTCATCAATATTTCATCAAAGCAATTAACACAATATTAACATAATATCACCTTTTTAGACGATATAACAAACAGTTGCCTCTTTTCACATCAAGCAGGGGTGGAGTTGTTTGTGTAATGACCTTATGAATGTAAATGCTTTAAACTCTGTTTTTGGTCTCCACCAACCTCTGAAGCAAAAACTCAGGTTCTTTAGCTACTAAATGATTCACTATATTCACCAGTTACTCTGCAAGTAGCACACAATCGGTTTCAGGACATCTTTGTTTTCTTCAGAAACAGCCGCCTGCTGTTGACCTTCATAGACTCACTGACACAGTTACTGATAAAATGTTTAAATTGTTATTTTCAACGCTGAGATACTGATGCTATTTAATCAACCTGGACTTTTCAGGAAGATTCTTTCTTTTCATCTGCTCTATAAAGCAGTGAATGGCCTTATTTGTCGACAATAGATATTAGACTTCACTGTTTGGTGGGATATTTTATATTCTGGTGAAGCCTTTGTCGTATTCACTCAGGTGATTGCTGAGAAAGCCTCTCGGACCACTTATGTACTCAATCTGTCATTTCGTTTTAAAGGTGCTCCATAATTTTTCTTTTCCCTAATTGAACATATTCTGCACTTTTTGATCTCAAGATAAGCGGCTTGATAAGTTATTAGCAGTCACAGCTGCTCTTGTTTCCATGCCAATGAGACACTACTGTGGGCATAAATAGATCTCCAGTGAGAGAATTGACAGGCAGCAGAGCCTTACTGCTTAAAATTCCAGAGTGTGCATCAAGATCAGCAGAGACTCCGAGATTAACTCATGTTTCCATCAGCTGACTTGGTGGTCTGAAGTGGAAAAGAAATCCTCGGGGTTGTGCATTTGATAGTAGATCGCATCTATCAGACATATACAGGTCCTCACTCCTTGTTCATATTCATAGTGTATTTGTGTTTTAGCAGTGTAGCTGAGGGGATGGCGATGGCCTGTCAGCACACCAATTTGGTTCAAACTGATGGATAAACATGAACTTCAGACATTCATGTTCCCATTAGGGGGAATTGTAATAATTCTAACTTTTCATCCAGCAGCATCATCAGATCAAAATTTGGTGCAATTTGATCAATGACCAAATTACATTCACAGCCTCAGCTGTACTCTTGTGTTTAGTGCTAATTAGCAAGCATGCTAACATACTAAACTAATGGGGAGCATAGTAGACAATGCCTGCTAAATATCAGCATGTTAGCATTGTCATTGTGAGGCAGAGACGCTCACAAGCCAATATTTCAAGTTTCGAGTTAAAGTCTGAAGTCTTTTAGCTACAGTCCAAGTTAAGTCTGAAGTCTTTAAGCTAGTTTCCAATGCTTGTAGATGTCTTCTTTTAAAAAAAGTTACGCATGATAATAAGAAAGGGAATGACATTCAGCATGTTAGATATTTCCTTGATGTTAATGTGCCAGAGTCCCAAATCTTGTGTCCATTGTGAGCATGTTGGCATGTAAGCATTCAGCCAAGAATCGATCGCATCACGCCAGCCACTGTAGACTCTCTAGTTTCATTACATAAGTAGTGAGAATTTTTTTATTTTTTTATTTTAAATTTGCCACTAAAACCTTCAGCATGCGCAGTTCAGAAAAGAGGTGATTTCATGATGTCACATCCAGACTAGCCTCTGCACCACTGCTCATCCCGGACAAATCACCATCAGTCACAACAGTTGCTATTAGAAACTGAAACCTTTGTGATTGGGAAAAAAAAAACTTCAGCTCCCATATAAAATTTGCAGTGCAACACAGGTTCTTGTGTCATTGTAACCACGCTCTGCCATACTGTTTCCATGTTTTCTCAGCTGTAATCTCTGCCTGGGTTGCCTGTTTGTGGATATATGAGACGGTTTTGTTTGTTTACTTGTTGATGGAGTGACAAACCAGCAGCTAAAATGGTTAAAGATGAAGTACAGCTGTGTGAGATCACAAGTCCACTTGCACGCCTCTTAAGTTACAGATGTCATAAGTCCAAGGGCAAGTCAGCAGCAGCGAGGACAGGGAGTCAGGCAGATAGATGGGCTAACAGACACTGAGAAAGGGGCAGAGAATCTGTGCATGCAGGGAGGTGTTAATCTGAGTGTGCGTGTTTGTGATGTGTGTAATCGTGCATGCACTGGGGTTCTTCTACAGTATGTGAAATCAAGTGTCCATCCACACTGAGATGCCCAGTTGATCCTCTGCCAAAATAACCTCCAGCTGCCAGATGCCTGCGATGTGTTTCCTTTTTTTTTTTTTTTTTAAATAAATGTCACTGAGCTTGTCTGTTATCTAAATATGGGGGATCGGAGAGTGTGCCACACAAGGGGATGTCCATCACGAGATTGTAAGAGGGCACAAATTAAAATCGGATTTGATTGGCTGGCTGTTGTCTGAGGAGGGGGGCTCTTGCCCAATCCTGATCATTTTCAGTAAAAGTGTAGAGGCATAAGAGGGTACTTATGGAGGGGGGTAAAGCCACAGTCCTACCTGAACTGTGTAGAAGGGAGACTGTATTTCCCGGACGTCTGTTGTTTTTCCTGGTGTCTGTTATTCAGCACAGCCGGCCACCATGGTAAGAAACCGACAGCTGAGAGGGAGGTAAAGGGGGAAACCACTGGGAGAAGGAGATTTAGTTTTAATGATTCTTTGAGGATTTGCGTTTGTTTTCCACTGACGAGGATTAAAAACCAGGTGGCAGAAGATGGACACTATTATGTGAAACGAGACGAACTACTTCTGCCCACCAACAGTCATCCAACAAGTCTTCATCTGCAGCGTAGCTGGATTTAAGTGCTGCTTTATCTCCTGGAAATCATGAATTTCTTTGGAATTTAATTTGGGGCTGACACTTTGCTTTGCTGCAGACAGAAAAATGAATTTTCCTTTTTGCTAACCTGCTGTTGGAAACTGTACATGTTTGCAGAGAAAAAGATTTTTCTCTGCTTTTGTGCTCCATCACTTAAACTCAGTCTGATTTGATATTTAGATTTGGAGGGGGACGATACTAAAGATAGAAAGCTCACAGCTGAGGAAAGTGAGAAGACATGCTGACTTTCCTGAGAGTCCTAACTTAGGACATTCACCTTGAGAAAATTCCTCTCAAATCCTCTCCCAAGTCTCACCTTAAATTCAGCTTTAAATAGAACTAAGCAGTGGGTTTGTACGACCTTCCATATGTTGTGATATTGATGAGTTTCTGTCGAGCAAACAGGGAAGGAGGGAAAATTTGTCACTGTCCTCCTCAGCTACTGCGAAATAGGGGTCTGGATAACAATTAAAGGGGAATAGCACTCAATTTTCTGTGCTGCGCTTTGAGATACTCCAGTTAATATTTCTCCTCAACTTTCCTCTTAGAAAACTGAGGCAGCACTTGGGACCAGACCTCATGGTGTTTCTTACTGTTTTGTAACATGTTCGCATTGTAAGCAACAAGAAAAAGAAGCCAGTGCTGTCAAGAAAGATTCCTATTAGACGTACGATTTAAAGTTGCAATGTCATTAGCAGGTTAAAGGATAAATGTTTGGTTCAGACTGGGAACAGCACACATCAAAACCAGTATAAAAACCTCAACATAAAACCTCAACTATTCTCTTCCTGATCAGAAATATTGACTAGACTCGTTCCTAAATTTGTGAGTAGTGAGTTTTATATTGAGCGGCGTTCCCCTTTAAGAGCCATCATTAACGCGTGCAGACAGCTGGCGGGGGATTAAACATGACTTCTTACCTGACCTAACGCTATTTCCAGTCTTTGGCTGTCACTTCGTCCATAATAGTTCAGTCTCTGGCTTTAGGTTTCTCCTTTGGTTTTCTGTGGCCTGATGGAAAAACACAGCTTAAATATAAGGAGGAGGGATCATAGCAGAGTTTCTTCGTGTTTCAGCCCACTGGAACGTGCAGAAAAATACACGTTTTATCGTGTCTTTACTATCACACAGACATAACTTTATATCACCACTAATGACTGTCTAAAGTATACTGAAGGATTTTACTGTTTTAAAGTGTTTTTCCGCCCTCCCATGCAAGTATTGATTTCCATTGAAATGGGTAATCTATGACCATTAGTCAAACACTGGTCAAGATTTTGAAACTCAATTTTTAAATATAGTGAATGGCTGACTCCAAGATCACACACACTTTGGTATGTCTTGACAAGTGGTTACCTGTAATCCACAGTACATGAACTGTAGTAAATGGGCTAGAACGAGCAGAAATGTTGTGTTTTGGCTGGAAACCATCAGCTTGCTCAGACCACGGGATCACAGCTTACTGATGCTTTTGTATCAGTGCAGCTGCAGCAGTAAGATGCATGTTTGAGTGTGTGGTTTTGTAGTGAACTGATGAAGATGTTGGTATCCTCTCTGATTCTAGTCGCTCCTCACATCCTGCTCTGGCATTAGGTCATTAGGTCACTGACATGACTGCAGCTGCAGGTGTATACAGCTGACAGGAAAGTTAACTTCTCTCTCTCTCTCTTTCCACCTCTCCTTTCATTCTTCCACCACTTCCCCTCCCACCTTTTTTCATTTCCTTCTATCAAGCCCACTGACGCCCAGAGCGATGCCCGCTCCTTCCTGACTGAGGAGATGATTGCAGGTCAGTCCTCTATCTCCTCCTCTACATGAATGGGTTACTGGATCACACTTGAGGGTCCTCCGCTGACCGTCATCTAAACCTCCTAGTGTTTGTGAGGTTTCAGATTGACTGAAACTTTCTGAATTTGAAACTGTTTCCTCGTCTCTTCCAGAGTTCAAAGCCGCCTTCGACATGTTTGACACAGACGGTGGCGGTGACATCAGCACCAAGGAGTTGGGTACCGTGATGAGGATGCTGGGCCAGAACCCCTCAAGGGAGGAGCTGGATGCCATCATTGAGGAGGTGGATGAGGATGGTGAGATCATCGTGCGACAAGAAACATCTGAATGCATAGACTTTTAAGGGACTGTGGCCTCGATTCAATACAACAGAGAAACGTGTTTTGTGGGACTCCAGATATTTAGTATGGCACTTCCATAAGGTTGTGGTGTCTGTGAAGAGGTCATGGTTATCAGAGAAAAGTTGAATCAAAGGCAACTGGACTTGGTTGTAGATAGATGAAGCCGAGAGGCTTCTTCAGTTGTGACTGACTGACGAGGAGAACCAGGTATTCAAGTATTTACAACCGAGTCCAGTTCAGCATTTCTTGGATAAGGTCGGGGTATTTGTGACAGACAGATTTTAAAGAGAATCATCACAATTGAAGATGCACAAACTCAGAAACAAGCTCCAAAGACACCAGATCCTACAATTAGCATAATACAACTCAAGTGTTTTTGATTAAACCCTCTTATTTCAATTTCCATTCCCCCTGTTTATAACAGATCTTCAGTCAAATATTTGAAGTAAGCCTCATACAAGACAACCTGATAACCTCATCAGGGTTATTTTTAGACTTCAAAAACCTCTGTCGGGAGCTACAGATGTTATGCAGCTGTTTCCCAGGCTCAGTAGGATTCCATATGATGAGTAAACTGACATTGGGCGAGTTTCCATCCAGCTGTTTTTATGCGCAATTTTAACAGGTGCATAAAAAAACCTCAATAGAAACAGATTCAGCAAATAAATGTTACTTAAATGTCACTCAAGTTACTCTTTTAATTAACGGTGTTGCCCCCTCTTCCTCTGCCGTGGAGAATTAGTGCCACCTATTGTTTATTTTGATGAACCAACTCCTAACATTCACATGACGGTATAGTGGAAGGAATCGTGCATAAATTTACATTTTGCTTTCCCCATTTTCTGAAAATTTGGTTAAAATTTGGGAAATATTTGGATGGAAACCTGAGTATTTATGTGTAACAGCAGCTCAAATAACTTCCTATAACGCAATAAACATCATAAACCGATGATACGGTTGTATCTAAATGTTTGGTCTCCCCTTGGAAATTTCCATATTTTGTTTATTTTTGAAGTGAAACTCTCAACCCTCATAGAAAATGGACGTGCCTTTCTTCACATGTTAATGCATTGTTAATTTATATTTTATGAACTAAAGAAATTGGCAAAAAAAAATTAAACAGTAATAGCAAAAGTTTAGTACTTACCTTATCCATACCTGAGACCTCATCACAAAAGTCAGCATCTGAAAAGTCTGCAAAGCAACATCTGGATAAGCCAGAGACATTTTGGAAACAAATTCTGTGGAGAGATGAAGTTAAAATGAACTCTTTCACTACAATCAGAAAAAGGTGAGTTTGGAGAAAACAGCAGCAGCACCGAGGTGGAAATATTCTGTTTGGGGTTGTGTGGCACAGGAAGCGTTGTACGGACAGAGGAAAAAATGGATTCCACTAAATATTCTGGATGAAAATGTCCTGCAGTCAGTCAAGAAACTAAAACTGAAAAGAAAGCTGGCTACCACAACAGGACAATGAACCAAATCAGACTTCAAAATCCACCATGAACTTCTTTAAGAATCACGAGCAGAGGCTTTTGGAACGCCTGTTGAATTTTTTTCAATATTATATAAATAAGTTTGTGAAATAAAAACGAGCGGCGCACTGACATTTGAAGACATTTCCCGTCTGTTTGCTGCAGGGGTTGTGTTTATCTCTTTTCACAGATTCCTCCCACCCTCTCTCCCTCTCCTCACTCATTCACCTCCCCCCTCTCCTCAGGCAGCGGCACCATCGACTTCGAGGAGTTCTTGGTCATGATGGTGCAACAGCTAAAGGAGGACCAGGCCGGAAAGAGCGAAGAAGAGCTCTCAGAATGCTTCCGTATTTTTGACAAGTATGACACTCAATACTAACATGAACCCAAATATGTACACTATAGAGTATAGTGTTGGTGCGTTCAAGAGTCATACACTGTACGTGTTGAAAAGTCAATAAATTAAAATGTTCTACAATTAAGCAACATTTATACCCAGCAGAATCAATAATGTTTCTTATAAGTGTGGATCAATGGATCTGGGGCATCAAGTGTCTTAATACTAAAGATAAATAGAGATATTAAGAATATAGATATTTTTAATATGAAGTATATTTAAAAAATTTTACTGCAGGTATTTCATATATCTTATAAACTTATATGCTCATATATCCAGAGCATTTATATATGTGATGATAATATATCCCCTTAAAAGGCAACATGACTCTTGACGTAGGGACATATGTCATATATTATATTTCTGTGTGGGTTGTTTCTCTAAACTGTCAGCTGTCAAATAAAGACAAAATACCAAGAAACGTTCCTTACAAAAAAAAAAAAGAAACCATTGGATTAAATGACTTTATATATAATGTGAGACGCGTTGCTCGTAGTGAAGAAGCCAAAGGGAATTATCATCAAAGCAATTTAGCATCTTTCAGCTCATTGTTTCGGTTTTCTGACCCGCATGCTGCCCAGGATCACATGACAGACGGACAGAAGTTAGCAGGTAGCTGGTGAACATAGTGCAACATTTAGCTGCTAAAAAGCTGCATATGAAGAAACCGAAACAGAGCTGAATTATGGGTGAAGACTGATACATGTGGTTCCGCTCTTTTGACTTTTCAACCCTGGAATATCGCATCAGTATCAGCCTCGAACATCCACTATGGTTTGCCTCTATATAGAACTTGTTGGTATTGATGAAAACTGTTTTTAAAGTTAAAAGTTTTAATGAGTCTTCATGGTGCAGTTTGTGTGGGAGGGATTCATTTTCACTGTGAACTTGCTTTTCTTCCACAGGAACGGAGATGGCTTCGTCGACCGCGAGGAGTTTGGAGAAATCCTGCGTCTCACCGGTGAACCAGTCACGGAGGAAGATATAGATGAGATGTTCGGAGAATCGGACACAAACAAAGATGGAAGGCTTGATTTTGATGGTAAGATTAAGCCACGTAGAGTTGATTATCTAGTGTGTTCAATAATGTCTGTCATGTTAACAGAGGGAGATAAAAAAAAACAGACTGCACTTACGAATCCACCAAGTGTCAGTGGTTTATCTTGATTACAGCAGACAGACTGTCAGCTGTACATTGAGCAGAAGAGGGCTTAGCTGTAATATAATATAATGTTTAAAAGAATAGTTTGACATTTTGTGTAATATACTCGTTTTCGTATTTCTGTACAAAAAGTGAAGTGAAAGAAATGACTGGTCAGCATGACTTCCTGTGATCTCTGCTGCCAACCTCACTGTGTCTGCAGGACATCACTCTGCCTGGCACAGAAACAGAAAACAGCCCAGTATAAAACAGTCTATTTTTACACTTCAGCTGTTGTTTGGATCAAACAATCACAAGGTGCTAATTAGCAAGCATTAGAGGTGCTGGTAGGCAGATTTTGTGAGCTTTGAACAGAGCCAGGCTACCTGTTTCTGCCTGTTTCCAGTGTTTATGCTAAGCTAAGCTAAGCTAACCAGCTTTTGGCTCCAGCTTTGTAGACTATTAACGGTCAGATATTTTCAGGTTTTCACAGTGTCCTCGGAAATTTTTCTGTAACCCAACCCTGATACGTAATTCTCCACGACTTTGTCTCTGACCTGGGGAGCTCCTTGGTCTTCACGTTGCTGATTAGTGGTGTTGCCTTTCAGAACAGGTGTATTTATACTGACATCATGTGATGGATCATGTGACACTTTGATCGCACACAGATTCGACTTAATCTACTAATTAAGTAACTTCTGAAGGTGATTGGTTGAACCAGATCTTATTTAGCGGTTTCATCACAAAGGGTCACAAAGTCTTTTGTTCATTACATTAAAGCCAGATAAAAACCCATTTTTAATTCTCGGTTATAATGCAACAAAAGAGGGAAAACAACAAGGGGAGGTGAATATATTCACAAGGCACAGTGAAGCAACACCACAACATAGACATTCACCACTGCAGCTGTGTTCTCATCTGACTCTTAGAAAGCAAATAAACATATTTCCCAAAATGTTCAGCTATTCCTTTACAGAGGTCCCTGTAGATGAAATGTTTTTTGGTTCACTAAGATCACATAACATGCCTGTGATATTAAACAGGGTTGGAGTGGAGGGTAAATCAAATCAAATCCAAACCACAGTGACCTAATTCTTTATACAGTTTAACATCAAACCAACATCGGTTTATTCAATGAATATGGACAATAAGAGGACTACACTTTATACCATCACAAATCTACACACATGGATAGGATATATATGTGTACATTTGTATATAAAATAAAGACACATGAGGCGTTTAGATGAAAATAAAATGTGGCAGTCTGTGAACATGACTGGAGCAGACAAAGAAATATTATTCCTCTCTTTAAAATCATTCCAGCTTTAGAGTGACAGGAATAAAGAATTGATAAATTACATATATTATCCTGTATTAAACATCATAATCACATGTTCTCCATGATTTCACGTGGACCTGATGACCTCACGTACAGGCTCTGAACCAACTAATTTGTTAATTTGTTCACTCATTCACTGATCGATCCGGTGGCTCAGTGGTGGGTCGGTTCATTGACTTCTGCCCCCTCTTTCTCTTTCTCCAGAGTTTCTGAAAATGATGGAAAACGTCCAGTAATGAGACCAGCTCTACATTCCTTTGTGCCCTTCCTCAGAGAGAACATGAAGCACACTGTCTGATGGAAATGTGTTCAGAGCGGACTCAAAATGCTGTAAAAACCCTGTACGATCATGAATATGATGCAGTTTCTGAGACGTCCAAATGGATACAAGTGAACCGCCTTCATCCCCACCCCCTTCCCCTTCTCATATGAAACCCTGGTGCCTGGTGAGGAGATCTATAAATATCCGTTCAAACCTTTTAAGACGAAGGCACTTTCTCCCGGCCTCCTCCTTGCGTGGGCCACCTCCCAGCTGTCAATTTGGCAGCTGCTGTTTCTCCAGAAATGCTACACCACCTAGCCTTAGCCCCCACCCCCCTCCTCCTCCTCCTCCTCCTCCTCCTCCCCCTCGTACTCAAAACTGAATCTCTCCTCCACCCTGTCCTGTGCTTTCTAAATAAATCTCTCTCCTTCCGCTCATTGTTCATCTGCAAATTATTCTACCACGCATGCCTCACATGCCTTATCTAGTCTGAGTCCTGTCTGTTTCTTTAATCTCTCTGTGGCCTTTCTGGGACTACTAGATGACCACTGTCTTTCCGGCCTTATGATTCTAAAATACACACACACACACTGACACACCATCACATGCACTTTCTACATCACCAGCATCATCGTTCCTTTACACGCACACCAACAATTGTTTAACTACAACTGGTCTTATCTCCCTATTCCTGTCCCAACCTCAAACTGGCCTCCATGCTGGACTTTGCAAAATACCTCTGTTTGCATAGATAGTGCCTTACACCGACTTCCCTGTCTCATTCAATACTAGAAAACTGTCATTTCTGCAGGACTGATCTTCACGCAGCGGTCTCCCAGCACAGAGATCTGACTAAGCCCCACTGTGAGAGGTAAAGCCGAGCAGCCAGCCAGCACTGGAGGCTTGAGACAGGCAGTCACAGAGCAGATGAGTTAATTCTCCCTTTGGAAAATGCAGGTCTCCCTCTGAGTATATAGCCTGCAAGCCCCCCACCACCTCTCAAAAGCATCATCCCCTCCCCTTTCTTCACAGCTGCTCCTCAGCATCCTATCCCCCTATCGTGTCTCTCACCTCGGGCCCTCCCCTCAGGAACTGCCCGCCATAAAAGGAGCATCAGGTTGTGTTTTTCAGTGCAATGTGGCACCGAGGTGCGTGGGTACCCGCCTCGCTCTCTGCAGCCTAAAATTTGCCTTCTATTCAGGGCACGGCTAAAGTGGTGGAGGGTGGGGTGGGTAAAGGGGTTGGGTGAGATTGGGGGTCCACCTCACAGCATTTTTCTCTTGGTTTTGAGTTGCACGCCCAGATTGAAACACCATCATCACAAAACCCATAACCTACTTTAAAAACTCTTGCCCCCCCCCCCACTCACCACGGTCTTATATTTACAAGGCCTAAATGGAAATCAACAGTGTGAACTGACGAGCTCCAAGATCTGTAGCTTTCTTTTTAAAATTCATTAAATTTCAGTTTATTATTTTAGGAGATCAACACTGAAAGTTGCGCCATTTCTAGAGAGTAACGTGTTGCATAATTTTTGTTTTAGTTTGTTTGTTTTTAAAGTGTATGAATCATTTTACAGTAAATCACAGCTCAGTCTTACGTCCTCCCTCTGATGATCTCAGTGTTAACAAACCAGCTGACACAAAGAATGATAAATCCTGTGCGTATCTGCATTCTCCCCCAAAAACTTTAGTGTTATTCTTTCCTGTAGATTTTTCCACCTTGACCCAGAATCCCCACAGTGCTAAAAAACTCCTGCTTTACTTCTTTTACATTCTTAACCTTGCAACTTCAAGAAACAAGAGCTTTCCCCTCCAAAGTGTGATTGGCTTGCCCTGGCCCCAGAACCCTAAAAGTTCAGGATACTAAATCTGGAGGCCTGTGAGAGGCAGGGGGCGGGACCTGGCTGTCCCGTTTAAAGTGTGTCTGAACCTTCACTTGACGTCTAGTCTCTCTGTCGGGGTGCACACGGATTGACCACTCCTTTGGGCTTTTCTTTTATCCTTGGATATTTGGGGGGGAAAAGCTAATCCACAAACATGGTAAGACCAGTTGTGCAAATGAGCTGCTGCAGCTAATCCGTGCTGAGGCCAACCTGCCATTAGCTGCTAACCAATAATGATGAGAGCCTGTGAATTAATCATTGACTAATTAGGGGATTTGAATGGATAAAAATCAATCCACTGAGTTGTTGAGAAGCATGTTCTTCTTTGGTCAATAATGCATAAATGTTTATCTGTTGGCTTCCCTTAAAACAATACTTATTCTAAATATGACAGATGAATTTTAGTTGAATTTTAATTGAATTCTTACTAAACAGGCCGATAACTGCACCTCAGCCATTTATCTTGCAAAAAATGCTCTTAATCTATGTAGAAAGTTAAGAATGGGTGCTGGGAGCAGGGTGGGTCTCAGCTGTGGATTCTGCTTGGGCGACAAATTCCCAGGGATTGGATGTCTGCAGGCCATATACAGCGAGCCTAATGTGTTGAGCCTGAAATAGCCGGACTAATTTTCACCATGCGCGCGGAACCTGTTGAGTCGCGGCCACTTATTTATCCTACATAACTGAAATGATTGATGAATTGTTATAATCACAAACCTTAATCATTACAATATGTCTATTTCTGAAATGTGTCATCTGTGCGTCATGGCATTTTTTACACGTTTCACTTACAGATGTTGATTTAATTTGAAACATTCCCAGTGTCTTTCTTTGAATGAATCATGGGAGCAGTTTAAGACCTGGAAATTGACCGTTGCAAAGCTCAATGTAGCCTCTAGGTTTTTTAATGGAATAATGAATGAAGCCTACATGAATTCTGTAGTGAATGATGAAGTGACAGAGTGGACCCTGTTTTCTTCCAGACTGACGCGCAACAAGAGGCCCGCTCCTACCTGAGCGAGGAAATGCTGGCTGGTGAGTACAGGCCGCAGTAACGCGTTACTTTGGCACCAGTACTGTAACAGATTACTAATGATAAGAAGCCTAGTCGTTTTCATTTATCACACCTCTAAATATCAAGATGAAATGAGCCATCCAGGTTTACTATTCCTCATTTTCAGAATGAGTTCCATTAAAAAAGGCAGACAGTGCGAGATGCTGCGCGTGGGCTCAGTCCCCGTGATGCTTTGTACTATTTAAATGAGCGAAGAGATGCTCAGCACAAAGCCGCAGTGACGACAGATGTGTTGCTTCAGTTATTCACACACAGGCAGATTTCACAGTTTTTCAGTCTGTAGAGACATGGAGAGGTTTTCTGGACTTGAACTATTTCCTCGTCTCTTCCAGAGTTCAAAGCCGCCTTCGACATGTTTGACACAGACGGTGGCGGTGACATCAGCACCAAGGAGTTGGGTACCGTGATGAGGATGCTGGGCCAGAACCCGACAAGAGAGGAGTTGGATGAGATCATCGAGGAGGTCGATGAGGACGGTGAGCGACGGATAACTCTGATAGTAAAATGTGTCTTTACGCACAAGCAACACAATACACCACAAGTGTTACCAGTAGTAAGTAGTAGTAGTAGTAGTAGTAGTAGTAGTTACAGTAACAGTATCTAACACTTTGAAACCAAAGCTACTTCTGCTTGATTCTGCTTTAAATTACACAGATCAGTAAGACATAGAGATCCAGTGTCTCCTTTCGCTGTGGTTCATGCGTAAAAATTGTGCGCAAAGACGAGCGCGCTGTTGTGTCCAACATGGAAGCGCAGGGCACTTGGCTGACCTGACCACCGTTAATCAGTTATGTGGCTTCTTCCTGACCCTCAGGCAGCGGCACCATCGACTTCGAGGAGTTCTTGGTCATGATGGTGAGGCTGCTAAAGGAGGACCAGGCCGGCAAGAGCGAGGAAGAGTTGGCAGAGTGCTTCCGTGTGTTCGACAAGTACGTTCACACTGTTGCTGCACCGTGGTTCAGTTATATAATATTATACACAGATATTTTTTTTTTTGGCTGACAGTGTTTAGTTTCCTCATGTAAGTGTTTGTTTATGTTTACAATTTCTGTGTTTTGTCCAGGAACGCCGACGGCTACATCGACAGAGAGGAGTTCGCCCTCATCATCCGCAGCACCGGCGAGGCCATCACAGAGGATGAGATTGATGAGCTGATGAAGGATGGAGACAAGAACGCTGACGGCATGCTGGACTTTGACGGTACGTGCATGATGATGATGATGATGATGATGATGATGATGATGATGATTGTGATAGCAGCCTCAGAGCATTCCTGTATTTCTGCTGTTTGATGAGATTTTAATAACCTTAATATTGGCTACTTACAGTTGAATTTATATATTGTGTAAATTGTGAATTATTTTTTTAACCTTTACCCTGTGTGAGGATGATGAACACTGTGTTTGGGGTAATAATGACTCTGCTCCATCGCCTTTCTTTCCCAGAATTCCTCAAGATGATGGAGAATGTGCAGTAAAACCGGAAAGACTCATGGACATTCCTCCTCCCACCCCCTGTGAACACATCTGACTCCCCATTGATGTCCTCAAACTACTCCCCCCCCCCCAGCACTCTTCCTCCTCCTCCTCCTCCTCCTCCTCCTTTCTCCTGTCCACCTGGTTCACTGCCTCTCTTCTCCATCCTCATAGTCATCCTCAACAGACAGCTAGGGCACCCGGCGGGGGGGTCGCTGGCTGGGCTACACTGTTCCCCAAACCCAGCTCGTCTGTGAATGCAGACGGCCTACGGATGCTGCGCTGACACTGTTCACCGTGACAGGACGGCGAGGCTGCAACGGGGAAATTCACTGCACACACCTTTTGCAGTATATGCATGGCGTAACATGTCATCCGCGACCCCCCTCCCTCCCCCTCTGCTGGTAATGCTCTGATCTTGATGTAGTCTAGATAGATCGGCGGCCTGTTACCTGCTGCTTAGACCAATTCATCCAAACACTTCACTGTACAAAGAAGTAATTTGCTTGAACAGAATAAATGAAACTAACACATACTCACTTGTAGTTGGTCTGTCATATTTATGGTCTGTGTAAAAAATTTTGTTTTGAGGAATATCAATAAAATCTCTTTGTTTCTTCTTTTTGTCAATTTCGTTTGAACCACAGCTAATTTTATCTCTGCTGAACATCCAAGTAAGTGCTGTTCACATCTGTAGGGGACCCACAAAAACTCCATTAGGATTACTTAACAGAGATAACAGAGATAGATAATTGAGTATGAGGTCATACATTTTTCAGGTCCAGAACTTGTGGCTAGGCAAGTGACTGCGGTAATGTCGTCATAGGATCTATCCTCAGCACAAACAATATTCTATTTGCTTTCACTTATAATAATTTTAATGTAATTTGTGCTGCAACTAGCAATTATTTTCTTGACTAATTAATAAATACCAGCCATCACAGCTTCTGTGAGTCAAAGGTGACGTTTTGTCCAACCAACACTTCAAAACCCCCCAAATGTTAAATTTACAATCACAGAGGAAAAAAGGAAATCTGCAAAAATATTCACATTGAAGAAGCTGGAACCAGAGAGTTTTACTGTTGTTTCTCTCAACAAAAATTACTCAAAGAAAATTGGCAAAATATCTGGCAATCACTCTTCCGATAAGTGACTTTGCAGCTCTCGCCATCATTATATCCCTGCAGCAAGCTGAGGCAGATGCTGTGGCTGCACACTGGAAATTTTTTTTATCACAGCTATGGTTTGACGATGCAGCTCAGTGTTGCCTGCTGTTGTAGCATATACAGTGAGTGCAGTGTGATCGCAGCTGCATTTTGATGCTTCGGTTGATTTGTGCATGAGATGTTAAGCCATAATTGTCACTGTCCAGATCTGAAGAACAGCCTCTCCTGGGTATTCTGGTATAAAAAAAATAATAGTAATGACTTTGTGAATTTAAACAATATTCAAGTTACTTTATTTAAACAGTCGCAGGCGATATGACATTTTATACCATCTGTAAAATAATGCAAATCACTCGTCACACAAAAAAATGCTGAGTTTGGACAATAAAATGGAGTCTGAACAATCTCCTAAAGAACAAAGATAAACCAAATGAACAGCAAAATTAGATGTATGTAAAGAAGTGTCCCAGGGTGAGTTCATGAGCCATAATTTGCTTCGTCGAAAGCTTTCCGGGCTCTCTTCAGCTCCTCGTTCATGGTCAGCAGGTCTTTGACTCTGGCGAACTTCCTTGGGTCCTTGCGAATCAGAAAAACGATGTCCTCCACCTGGACGCGGCCCTGGCGTCCGATAGACATGGCTTTGTGGGTCATTTCCGTGATGAACTCGATCACCAGGTCCTCCAGAATATCCACGGACTCCGTGTACGGGTTCTGGTCGTCTCCGAAACCGTACATCATACACCGGAGCTCCTTGGAGAAGAGCCTCTTCCTCTTCCCGTGGCCGACGTCGACCCCGCTGGTCCCGTCATCCAACTCCTCGTCGAAGCCAGTCTCGTCCTCCTCATCCGCCATTCTGCTGGAAAACACACGGATACGTCACATTAACGTAAACTTTTACATTACACTTACACTGTTATAATACGTAGTTAATGCGCAAAGCATAACTCCGTTACCTCTTAGTTCAGCCGGGATAACAACACAGATCGGTCTGTGCTCTCTGTTGACTTCCGCCTCAGTTTCTTTGACTGAGGAAGAAATTCAGGGTAAAAACGTTACCTACTAAAAAAATACTGCCCCTTGTGGTAACTTCCTCTGAACTGTGTTGTCCCCCGAGTAATGATCCGCATGATGTTACAATACAAAGTTTGCGTATATTAATCTGCCATATTGTCATCATGACTCACGGTAGGTTTCTTTAATATCATATTTTGACTGTTTTTTTTTTGTTTGCTCCCAGGCATATGCTTTAATGTTTCTAGACAAAACAAGGCCAAACTTAATTCAAACAGATGGCATTTTAACATTGATGGCGTTTGAATGGATCACCACCTTGCTGTATTGTAAATTAGCTACATATATTTAGATGTTTTTCGCGTTTTGTGTGTATTATTTAAATGAAACACTCCTCGGGTACAATCGCGAGCAGTGTGAACTAAAGCAGAAAAGTCACATTTTTGTTAAATTGCATTTATTTCCGGTGGGGTATTTGGAAGCCGAATTGAAGAGTGGCTCATAACGATTCAATGAAGGCCTTAAGTCTTAGTGCATGTGACTTATAGGTGACAAATCAATACTGCAAAGGTTAAATGGAGAGATTGATCGGTGGAGTTCAGTATGCGGGTGTAGTCAGACGAACATGACACGTAACGGGGGCAACGCACTGTGTACTCTGTCACCAGTTGCAGTTAGCGAGTGGTGATGGTGAAAGCTGAACCTAGTTTACGGTCTACATTAAGCTAATAACTGCTTTTTGTACTGAGTTAGCTTATTAACTAATAGCCGCCACACAATGCCGGTGTACAAAGCAGGCTAGTGTGATCTAAAGGGGTAAAACGCTAGTTAGCGCTGAAGACAATAGGTCCCGTCAAACTTTGCCAAACAACGATCTGGTGAGTGCTACCGCTGCCTTTGGCTAATATTAGCCGAAGCTGTCCAGGAACTAACTCAGTTCCTGTTTAATAATTTGTTGGTAAATTGTACTTAACATTATGTTATTAGTGGTTTAACGGCTAGCTGACGTGGTTTAGCGGTTAGCTTACGGTGGTTGTCAAACTTGAGCTAAAACTAATGTTACCGTTAAGCTAACAGTGCATCAGGGCTTATTTACAACTCAAAAAAAAACTGTGCTTCCTCACTGCACTCAAATGCAACCTAACTCCCTCCCTCTTCCCCTCTTCCACACGGGGGGCTCTCCCTCCTAAAGCACTCAGCCATGGCTGATGGACAGGGGTGCAGAGTCAGTTTGGAGATGATGACCTCTACAGTAGCTGTCTGAACTGGACAGCTGATCCCAGCAGCCCTGGATGGCGTGCCCCGTCCAGTTCCTCTGCCGGGGGCTTCGCACCGTTGGACTAGTTCTCCTCTACTATGTCTTCTCTATAGGCATCACCTTCTATAACAAATGGCTGATGAAGGTAAGTGAAGGTGTTCACTGGCTTCCTATTAATAACATGGCTCCTCCTTTTATTTCAGAATATTAATGAAAATAATCTAAGATGAATCTCTGCTTTTGCTGTCTGGTGGGTTAAGCCGTATGGTGTTTCTCTCTGGGGGCTGTCTCCCAGTGTCTCAGGATCCAGGACCTTGAGACAGTGGGAAATATCCCACCTCAACTGTGCGAGATGACCCTGTCTTTTTCTCTCTCCCTCAGGGATTCCACTATCCCCTTTTCATGACGTTAGTTCATCTCACCATCATCTTCTGCCTGTCGGCTCTGACGCGTCGGGCAATGCACTGGCGGACAGGGAAACCCCGTGTTATTCTAAGCTGGAGAGATTACCTCCGTAAAGTGGCTCCCACTGGTGAGATTTTAGGGGAGCCTTGAGTGTTTTACCTAACTGTGTTCAGAAGGCAGCTCAAAGTGTTCAGAGAACAGTGAGCTAGAAAAGGGACTGACAGTCGTCTCTTATCATGTTCACTGACATAATCTTTCAGTGACGAGTACTTGGGCTAAAGTCCACATTGATAGAAACATGACATCACAACTAAAGGGGTAGTTGAAGATTTTAAAAAAAACCAACAGAGCAGCAATCACAGCAATTAACCATCATTAAAAAAAGTAGATTTATTTGATATATATAAATGTTAATGTTATGATTGTCTCGCCCCTTTTTCTGTTTTGTCTTGAATCAGTAACAGGCAGCAGACAGTATTCCAGCTATGCAGCAAAATATCCATGCTCAGAGCCTAAAATGAGCTGTTTTCAGTGTTATTTAGATAATTATGAACTCTTACAGTATCTCTTTTCACCTTTGATGTCCTGCCTTATTATTCATAATTGATAGTTAGAAAATAGTAGACCAGAAACAAAGGTGTTCTAAATTCTGTCTGTCTTACCCAGCCTTGGCCACAGCATTGGATATTGGACTTTCCAACTGGAGTTTCCTCTTCATCACCATCAGCTTGTAAGTTTGTGTCTTTGATATGATATATGATATGATATGATATGACTTCAATATGAAATGATAAACTTCAGCTTATTAGTGTTGCTATTTAACCTGTTATTGAATTGTTCCATTCTACCGTGGCTCTTATCTTTTGTCATTCAAGGTACACTATGACCAAGTCGTCAGCTGTTGTCTTTATCCTCTTTTTCTCTCTGGTGTTTAAACTAGAGGAGCCGGTAAGTGACAATTCTTTTTAATTTTTAAATGATGTGCTATGGTGTACATTAAAGGTCCCATATCGTATAATGTGAGCTTTCCGTATCTCTTTTAATTATAAAGCAGGTCTAGGTTCTATTATATATTCTCCTTTGTATGAAACGCCTAGTTCAGGGGCCCAGACATTACTTCCTCATCCTATTGACATCAGTACGTCTGTTGGTGCTGCCCATCTACAAGCTTGGCACACCCCCACACAAGGCACAGCACATAACCTCTTATAATAATTATAAAACTACTCCAAGTTACGAATATTTTCATCCGAAGTCTTTGCAGACTCTCCAGTCCTCTTCTCTATTTCTGTATATGTTTGTTTCTCACCATCTCTCTTTTCTGTCCTTTTCAACCAGAACCCATTCCTGATCCTGGTGGTCCTGCTGATCTCCAGTGGCATGTTTATGGTTACATTTCAAGCGCAACAGTTTAACCTGGAGGGATTCATCATGGCGCTGCTGGCATCCTTCATCGGCGGGATCCGCTGGACCCTCACTCAGGTCCTCATGCAGAAAGCAGAGCTGGGTCAGTGTTGAATATATGTTGAGCACACCTGTTGCAGCTACTGTGCTTTAGGGCATTTTAGCCACATGGACACCTAAACTCAACTATGACTATACGCTTCCTCACTCCCGTGACAACCCACCCTGAGTGAAATGAGATATTGAGGTAAACAGATGAACAAACCACTACCTGTGAAGCATTTGAAAGAGGCAGAATACAAATGAAAACACAAGCCCTCTCACCTTGAATGAAGAGATAAATAAGAAGCTTCATGTGAAACCCTTCGAGAGAAGCACTGCAGCAATACAAATGTGAAAAATAATGAAATTAAAACGGTATAATCAACGGGCAGCTAAGAGAAGAATTAAACAGTCTGACAGAACTATTCAGTACATCTGATTTTGTAATTAAAGGATGCTTTGCCAATAACTGTAGCAATGATTTTTAAAAGCTGAAACTCACAGAAGTTTATGGCCCTATTGTTTTCCTCTTTCAACCTTTTTTTTTTTCATCTTGTTCCTTCTTCCAGGCCTTCAGAACCCAATAGATGCCATGTACCACCTACAACCTCTCATGTTCCTTGGCCTCTTTCCCCTCTTCCTTTATAACGAAGGTGAGACACACTCTTAAGCTGCAGTTCGTCTTCCTCACTCTGCAGTAAAGAGTGATCACCTCTATAGTCCTGGTTATAGTATTTCAGTTCAATGAAAAATGTTATATAAACATTACGCAGCCTCAGTAGCTTATTATTAGCTATTTGCACTCCAGTAATCCAGTCTTAATGATCACAGTGTGATTTTTGGTAGTTAGGAGATGGAGATGGAAACCTAGTAAACACTGATTTGATACCACGAAATTTGTTAATAAATTTTTCATACCGTTTTAAAACAGCAGCTGTTACTTTCTTTAATGCAGTGGCATTGGATTGGTCCTGGGTATGGGAATTGGTATCAGGAAGGAAAAAATGATATAAGAACACCTGTAAATACAATTATGTTCATTAACGTTCAGTTTCTCTGCCTTTTCTGAAAACCGTGTCGATCACACTGCTTGACATGGCTTGCCACAAAATCAACACTGATAAGGTATTTCAGTCAGGTTTAACCTTAACGTGCTCAAGCAGTGCTACAGGTGACGTTCAGCACCTTATTACCTCTTCATAGAAGCTGATTAGTGTCTTGTAAAGTAATGCCTTCATCACACACCTCTCTCTGCAGGGCTGAGCCTCAGTACCTCAGAAAAGTTGTTCCGGGTGACGGAGCTTTCACCTCTCCTTTACTCACTCTTCACGCTGGGCATCGGCGGCTCACTGGCCTTTGGTTTAGGCTTCTCAGAGTTCCTGCTAGTCTCTCGAACCTCCAGCCTCACTCTATCCATATCAGGGATCTTCAAGGTACCGTTTCAGTTCAGTGTGTGAGCTCACTGTGTTGGCTTTTATTGCTTATTATGGGAGTCTGCTAAGCCAAAACACTACAAACAACTATGCTGTTATTCTATCTCTGAAAGTTTCTGGGTCAACTTTAATCAACTTTTGTTTTTTTGCTTTGTAAAGCCTGATGAGGCTGCAGTGTTCTGGTCTTGTTCAGACCCACTAAATACACCCTTTCTTTCGTCCCTTTTATTGTCTTGTTTTCCTGTAGGAGGTGTGTACTCTGCTTTTGGCAGCAGCTCTGACGGAAGACAAATTGAGCGGGCTTAATTGGATGGGATGTGTTGTGTGTCTGTGTGGCATTTCATTGCATGTGGGACTCAAGACATATTATTCGAAAAGTAAGTTCGTTTTTATTTTTTGTTTTTGTTCATTATATGGTCTGAAAAAAAGTCAATCAAATATTTAAAAATCCCTTTTAGATATGTTTAATGATATATAAAATGTGCTTTGTCTGATATGGTTTTTCTTGTTTAAAAACTTAAAAAATTACATCTGTTCCTTCTGTTTTTAATTTCAAAAGTTTAACTACTGTACACAAGATGTTTCCTACCTCACTGAGCAGGCTTCAAGTTTCAACATCACACTTGTGTGAGTTGCCTATTGAACCAGGATTGGCTTCCACGCTCTTTGTGATGCCACAAAATCATGCTCGTACATGCACGTCTTACACAAAGATTTAATTGAGCACAGAGAAGCTTTCCCTCTTCAGTCGGAAAATGTGACAGTAGCGTTTAGTGTTACGCTCTGTCAGGTTCAAACATCTAAGTTAGGTAACAACAATCACACACATTTCTGAGTGGAGGTGGACTTTAAGAAGAGATGATAACATTGACAGTGTGAATTTTGTTTTATTTTCCATCAGATAAGGTCCCGTCTTTAAGGCAGCTGAACAGTAAGAGCCCAGAGCTCGAGTTGCCTTTACTGCAGCAGACCAGAGACGAAGCAGAGGAATCAGCTGCTGACGAAGATGAGGAGCAAGAAATCACTCTGCACTGACATCACAGGATGTCAGTCCTTTACAACCTTTCCATCAGAGGGTTTGAACAGTGACGCCAAATAAATGCTGGAGCACTTCCAAAAACTGTTTGGAACACACTGCCACAAAAAAAGAGGGAACAGCATCTTCAGCTCTTTACTTCCACTGATCCTGTCTTCAGGCGAGGCCAGGGCCTCATTATCAGCTGTACAGTAACTGTGGACTTTGAACGTGACATAAGTTATGATGCTTTGCCTTAGGGCCGCTCCAGAAACGTAGCTAATACATGCAAGTGTCAACAAAGTATGATGTATGGAGGAAGAGAGTGCCACAGCTTTAGATGATACTTTCACACCTTGAATTGTAGTGGGTCATTTTTCTTTGCTAGATACTTGTCACTGTGGAAACATCTTACTTTGGTATATATACCTATACATATGTGTGTATATAGGTATATATTAATAGCATTCTGCAAAATGGCCCACAGAATAAGCTGTTAGGAGACTGAAGCGCGGTTACAAGTGTTTGATTAAGTGAAAATCAACTAGAATTTGAAGTGTTCTTGTATCCTGGTAATATAATGTGGGAGCCGTGGTAACCAGATTACATTATTTATTTGCCTTTAGATATGTAGCCTGGTTCTGAAAAGGACATCCTTAAGTTATTTTGTGTAGAAGCGAGAGCAATGGCACATGTGTTATATGGGTCCAGAGATTCCTATTCTTGCAGATGGCTTTGCTGATCTTGTTTGTCGGCTGATTTATCTGCTGTACAATTTAATACAACCAGATCAACATGATCCGTAGGGCTGCAGTGATTATCATAATCACAAATAAATCTGCAGGACTTTTTTTTTGACTAAGCAAATAATTGTTTGGTCTAAAAAAAATGTGAGGGAAAAAATGAAAAACGGCCATCACAACTTCCTAAAGCCTTAAGGTTCCTCTAGAAATTCCTTGTTTTGTCCAACTGTCTAAAACTCACATTAGACAACAGCAGCAATTCCTCATATTTTGTAGAACCTTTGAGATAGTAGGAAATGTTATATTTATATTTGAAAAATGACTTGAATTGTTAATTAATTATCAAAGTTACAGATTCATTTTCTGTTGACTGACTAATTTTATTGATCAAGTGTTTGAGTTGAGTTGTAGAAGCAAAAATGGCTGATGCCAAGCCCTGTCTCAGAAAATAGATGTCCTGCACCTTAGCAAAGGTCGGATTGATGTCAGGTTTAGTGGCATGAAGACCCTCTCAATGTGATCATTTTTTTTTATTTTTTAATGGTATGTGTCCTAATACTGGAACATGTCACAATAAGGCCATTTTTAATCAAGTTTACTTCATAGTCTCTAACTGAACATAAAGGATTAACTGAGCTGCAGAGTTGGAGCTAAAATGAATGGTTAGTGGAGAGATGTGATATGATTATACCTTATTGTGCCTTGTTAATGTTACAGCATTGAAAAAGGCTACTTTTAAGAGCTTATTATATATATAATTAAATCTGTGATTATGCAGCTGAAGTTCTTCAGTGTTAAGCCATTTCAGAGGGTAAACGTCTTTGAATGTTTTCTTTTTTCTTTTTTTTTACATCATGAGTTTCTGTGAAAAGGCAGCGTTGTTGCTAAATCATTGAGAAATAAAGTTAAAAAAAAAATATAAGTAAAAATATATCGTCTTTTTAATTCAAGCCCACTTCAAAATCTCTTTTTCTCCTTCTCCCTTATCGGCTTAGATTTTATTGCATTCCTGTCCATCCATTTGATTGCATTTACTCACGAGTCAAGATGCCATGCTAACTTGGGCTGTCACTGAGGTAACTGAGTTTATTTACATTCAACGTAGTTAACTGTGCTCCTGCAGGGAACACAGGTCTCTTCAAGTCTGGTTCTTATCCAATAATCGAGCCCAACTGCATCTATAGCTGGAAAGGTTTCCCCAGCAAAATTCTTACATTAGAAACATTTCTGTTATTGTACGGTGAACATTTGGAAATTTAAAGGTCCCATATTTTATACTTTTCCAGTGTTTTATTAGTTAGTTTTGATATCCAAGAAGATATAATTGTGGGTTTAAGAACTAAAAACCATCTCAATGTAGTTTCATATCTCCGTCTGGCTTCTCTCTGGAGCTCTAGTAACAACAGGTCTGTCAGCCAATCAGAGGAGAGGAGGCTCTGAGCCTCTCTCCTGATTGGCTGACTTTTTTTCTGAGTGAAAATATAGCAGATTTCAGATAAACACTTGGAGAAACCAAATCCTGGGAGGATAAATGTTGTGGGTCCAGGTGGGCTGGGTTGAGATGTGACTGCTTTGTTGTGACATCACAAAGTTACAGCAGTCCTGACGGCCCGTTTTACGGCTCAGTTTCTGAATACAGGCTGTGTGTGTTTCTCTGTGGACTGAGCACTCTGGTATTTATAACCTAGCCCTGCTTTATACCCGAGAAAAGACAAAGAAAATCTCACTTTATACAATATGGGACCTTCAGGTTGTTGTCTATGACTCACAGGTGGTATCTTTGCTGTAATTAAACATTCATATAAATACCCACCCTGCCCCTGGTTGACCTGCCAGTCTAGACTCATGTAGTTTAGCCTCCAAGTATGGTCACGGTCCAACACAGCTGTTTGGAAATTATTTAATTACTCACTAATGCAGTGAAGCTGTGGTCTCTGCATGCCATTGCTGCTCATTCACTGATAGGGTGCAATATGGTGATTAATTATCACACCTACAGAAATATTTAAACTGGACTTGTTTGCTCTTTGGAGGTTTTATAGCCTTCTCCGGAGCACCACGCCCATGCTGGAGCAGCGGGACGGCCTCGCTTCTCGAGTTTCACCCCGGAGAGTTCACATACTACCTGATGCAGGGAGCTGGCTCCACAGTTTAGCGAAGCTGGCGCGTGCTGACATCTCACCTGTGGTATGCTGTGTGGAGTCTGTCTGGAGGAATAACCTGGACTCACCGAACGGCCAGGTAAGACCTCACCTGGCTGCTGCAACAAGGCGGAAGAAGTTGTTGTATCATTGTCACTGCACGTAGTTTTGTTCTCGTCAAGTCAGAAGTTCTCAAGTAAACGAGGGTGGACGTTCAAAATCCAGCTGTGTCTATTGTTCGTTTCACTGTTGTTAAAAAAAACAAAAAAGTTTTCACGCGAGCGACATGGGTATGAATGCAGCGAACTTTCATCTTTTACGAAACTTACATGCATTAAAATAACTCGGTATATAATTCTTATTGATTTAAAACAACTAAATATCACATTCCTTGCATTTTCTGCATTGCAGTTACTAAAAGAAACGAGCTAATGTACGCAGTTACCAAGTAACAGCGTCGCGTTGTTCCTTGCGTCAATAAACAGCTTGTAGCAGCGCACACTGTAATGCAGCTGCAAGCAGCTAAAGCACTAAAAGTATTGATTAACGTACAGTGTTTTTTATCAGCGTTATTGATATTATAACAACTGTGTTAGTCATTCATCTGTTAATACACCAGCGTTCAAAAGTTGTTTGCAAATAAATGAATATACACTTATATGTAATTATATATACTTACGACTTCATTATAGAACCATTCAGTAACTTTTATATAACGCTTATAATTGCTAGTGTCTGCATAACATCACTTTCATATTACAAAAGTCCCTCTATTTGAACACACTATAATGCAGTTGGATGCAGCTACTGAACATTTTAAAGTTTATATATATATGCACAAAGATTTTTTCGGGGGGAATTTCAAATTGACCTGTGAAGACGTTTGATATTATTACAGCTATTATTGTCATTTATTCATCTGTTTATACACCAGGGCTCTCTATGGGTTCCCTCAGGAGGACTTAGTTGTTGACAAATACATTAATAGACACTTATATATAATTATATGTACTTACAACTTCATCATAGTGTGTTATAAACCATTTAGTAATGTATATATAAAGCTTATAATTTCTAAATAAGTGCTGTTGCTTAAGCAGTTAGTGTCTACTTACCTCACTTTCATATTACTCAGTTCATGTGTACAGTATATGGTGGTTTTTAAATTTGAATTTAAGTTTATGACATTATTCAGCTCAAAATAAATTCAGATTTCCAAAGTCTGATGTTGCATCAAACCACCTGGATACTTGCTGGGTGAACTGGAGTTCAAGCTATTGTGTGGTGGTCATTTCTTCCTGGTGAGATCACTCCAAAGGCAGTAAAGGCATCAATAAATGAATGATGATATTGACTTGAGGTCACTTTAGTCTCAATGTAGTGTAGTCATCTACAGATGCACAGTAACAGAAACCAGACCAATATCAGCATTAGATAACTAATAGAAGTAATTAATATTCTAATTCCATAGACACATCCGCAGACATTAGAATTAAAAGTTCAGTGTGTTTTTCTTTTCTTATTCAGAGAGAAAAACCGACTCTTTACAAATAGACACCAACATAATCTAGTCTAAGTCTACTGTGTATACTAAAAATATCAGATGACTTAAGATGTCATTTGCAGTTTTGTCCAAAGTTAAATGCTGTTGTCCTGATTTTTCTTGCCCTGACAACTTAATTACACGAACACAGAAAATTGAAAAGAGGGTCAGTGAAAGAGGAAACTGTCTAATCCTCTTGGCAGGTAGATCCACCGGCATTGCATAACAATACCCATCTTTTCCTCTGTGTCTGACGGGTGGGCAGACAGGTATGCATGACATGCGACTCAAGTATAAACTCAGACTTGGCAACATTCAGGCAAGCAGGTACATGTGAAACATGAGAAAACATACAAAAAGAGCAATAAAGTCACGTCACATACTGCACATGATGGCTGCGTATCAAGTGGTCTGAAAAGCCTTTAGGCGGACTTGAAGTTTCTCTCAAACCCTCTTCAGTGGTGGCCTTTGTAATCATGACATACGTCTGAAATACAAGTAGAAGGCTCTGACAGGAAATAAATGTCAACGACGAATGAAAGAGATTTTACATTTATAAAAACATGACATTTATCTTTTGATTGATAGGATAATTTAATGTTTTTTTCAAACTTGACTACCATCAGAGATAGAAAAGATTCTATACTGTATATATATATATATATATATATATATATATATATCATATAGTATGTGTGTTTGATATGCAGCTTCTGCAGGTGCTAATTATATTGTCAGTAAAGCTGTCAAGTGTTTTCATCTCCTCACACGTCCTCGCTTTTTCCGTTCCCTGTATCGTTTCACATTGAACCAACTGAACCTTCATTCCACCAAACATAATTTAACGGATGAATTTTATTTGTTCTGAACACTTGTCTCATGCACGGCCTCTGGTCTGTGACGGCCAGTGTGATAGCTGAGCTACCAGTCTGTTAATTGTAGCTTTGTTCAGCCTTCATTCTGTTGAACAGTCTTCTTATTCACAAAGAACAAATGTCAGAGGTTTTTGCCTTTGTTTTCTAAAGAGCACCTGCCTACACAACTTATTGACTTTTTCCTACAGTTTCCCAGCATATTCCAAAATGATAGAGTACATTTAGCTTTATTTGATCAGAATCAGGCCTTTTAAATGTAAAAATGAGCTGTGGTCAGTTAACTTTTTACTTTCTGACCCCTGAAATACATGACGCCTAGTTGTGATGAACGTATACATATGTATTGTAGCAGAGCAGAGTGAAAACAGTGGCTCTCAAAGCTCTTAGAAAAAATCCCATGTTTGCAAATAATCTTTCTTCATGAGACAAAAAGCATCGAAACATTCTAATAAAGTAGTGTGATTAGTATCAGAATAAGTTGAGGGTATTTCGTGTGTACATCTTGTAAATGCTGGCCGTTTCAGACAGAGGCGTGTTAGTTTTATGGTCTCCTAAAGTGCTGCGTGTTTGTTAATATTACAGCCCTGTGCATGTCATTAGCTGTGTGAAGTTTGAGGGTCTGTAATGGGGACAAGCACAGAAGCACCTGTAGTCTGAGTCGGCCATAAAAGAGTTCCCATGGGAAAATGTGACAGGATTTGCTGGGGCCCAGGTAAAGACATGAAAATTGGTGCTTTTGTTTTTCCAAAATGAAAAGTATTTTATCTGCCACTTGTTACTTTGGCATGAAACCTGTTCAAAAGCCAGTGAATCTGTCCAGAAAAGAACAATATCAGCCAATATTTTTTATTATTTTCATGGCTGATTGATTCTCAGGGTATCTTCTTGATTATAGTGGACAATGCTGCAAGTTGACTAATTCAGATTTCTTTTTTTGGTGTGACCAGCAGCACAAAACCCTTGAACCTCTTGATCAAATCAAGTTGGACCAATATTTAAAATGTTTGATTAAAGGACCAGTGTGTAGGATTCAGGAGAATCTGTTGGAATGGGATATAATCACCTGAAACTAGGAATTGTTGTGTTTTTACTTGCTCTGACATGTTTCTACAGTAGCCCAGAATGGACAAACCAAGAACTGGCTCTAGAGTTTTACGTTACCTGAAGGCCACTGTAGGTTCTCCTGCACATTTTGAAAGGGGGGGGGGGGGGGGTTAAGGCGGGGCGTGAGGGGAGGGGTACTCAGTTGGTTGCAATCTGCAACCTCACCTCGAGATGACACTAAATTCTGCACACTGGTCCTTTAAGAAATTATTTCAATGAATATAAATA